ACCCACATCATATAGTAATTAAAATACAAGGTGGAGAAATCCAACTTTGCTTGAGGCTGCCGCGTCAAGAGTTCGAATCCTGAAATATGGATTTGGCTCTTGGGTAAGTGCAAGTGTACAAGCAGCCTTCCACCCTGTACCCTTGGAGGCATAACCTGCGATTTACCTCCCTTACGATGCTCCAGGACAGAGGCTGTGGGTGACACTTAAGGTTGGGGTTCAACCTTTTTTTAAAATACAATATAAATTTATTGAAAAATGTGATAGTTACTTTATTGTCAAGTACCATTTCTGATAAATGCACCAATCATCCAAAGGGTTATTCCCATTTGCAAGGGCATTGACCCCGATTAGGGTTTTCATCCAAATAATTTCAAATTTAGGGGTGAATTCAGGAGTTTCAGTTAGCATAAGCGGTCGTTGACCGTCTACTGTCGGCTACAGTAAAATATTAAGAACTCATTTTATACCTTTTTTTTTTTTTGGGGAAAAAAAAGCATTTTGGAATAGTAATTTGATAAAGAATATATGGTTAAAAATAAAGAGAAGTTTTTAATTTGTGGTAATAGTGTTTTATCGAAAAATGTCTGGTTGAAAAGAAGAGAAAAAATATATTTTGAAAAAAGAAAAAGAGAGAGAAAATCAAACAAGGCATAAGGTTTAAATATAACAATTATTTTGTTGAAATTGAATACATATAATTCTGTTATAAAAATAAACCGGACTCATCAAATGACATTGTTGCCAATTTTTGTATAATTCAAATGAAGAGCGCAGAATCGAATTTTTACAATTATACTTGCATTAAAACAGTCAAAACCTAGCAAATATTATTTTGTTAAATTTACTGTCAAAATTCATGAAGTGTTGTAATGATCAAGCTTACAATAATCCTTATTGGATGTCACAAGTTCGAATCCCATATGGTCTCCCTCCCTATTATATTTTGGTAAAAATTAATAAAAATATGCACAACAAATTTGTTGGTAAAGAATTCGAACCTGAAACTTCAGATATATACATACAAGCTCTAACCGATTAAGCTACAAAAACATTTGAAAATAAAATAAATTACTAGTTATATAAGCTAAAAATTTAATCTATTGTTAAAAAATAAAAAAATTGTTTTGGCGAATCAAGCATGCACGGCCGTAGGTACTCGTCAGGTGCTAAATCTGCCCAAATCAAATTTCTTGTCCTCTAGACGAACATCAAAAGCAAACCTAAGAGGGACCTAAAACTCTTGTCTAGGTAGGTTGGTAACGGTTTGGTTCAGGGTCGGTTCGGTCAAAACCACCACCGAACCACCAATTTTTTGGCCATACAATAATCGCGTAAGTTGGTTCGGTTCGGTTCGTATCTTGGTTCGGGCGGTTAATAATCATGAACAGAGGCAAATCCAGGACTTTGACTCAGTTATGGTGGTCGTTGATTGTTGATCGTCAACGGTCAACGGTCGTATAGCCATGTCATCCATTAATATCAAATTTTATAATATTAAAAATTATTTTATCTATATACAAATGCACTAAAATGTAAAAATCAAATATTTATATCAAATTATAGTACAATACAATTGAAAATAATATAAAATAAATTATACATGAGATTTCTTTGTGTTATCAATATAAATCGTTTGCTCAATTAAAAGTAGTTATGAGATTAGATGCACCATCACTACAACAAAAGCAACTTTTATGGCATTCATTTAGGTGTGCATCTATGACATGCCGTAAAAAGTGATTAATTATGGCATGCGCGAGATATATGTTGTAAAAGATTTATTAATTAAAGTATTTACGGCGTGCAGTGGATGCACGCCGTGTATTGTAAAAAATTTTAAACTTTTAAAAGCCCTAAAATGCGACTTTTCTCCCATTTTTCCCCTAATCAACTCCGCCTCTCCACGATTTCGGCCGGCGCCTCAGCTCTTACTCTTGTCTCTCTCTCCGCCTTCCATCGTCGACCACCGGCGCCACTCACTCTCATTGCTTGCCTCTTAGGACCCAATCCTCTGGAAGTTTTAATATGAGTTCCTGAATCTACTCCGGTGGTCTAATTAAATCTCATAGAAAGATTTTAAGGTGTTGAGCTGCCTATAAAGATAACATTTGTTTATTATGGGTGTGAATTTAATACGTGAACGAAAGAGATTTGGGGCTCATTGACACAATTTTCCTTGCATAATAGTGTGCTGCTTTAACTCTTTGTTTTGGGTACACATAAATTACTTCTAATTTCGTGTTAGAAATATATCTATTTTTTACTTCACACTGGCTGCATAAAATTAGTTGGACAATAGAAAGCAGCTATTAGAATCATATGCATTCAAAATAAGGAAGTAGAAATATACATAGAAGGGGATTTTTAGGACACAGGTTTGTAAGTTTTGACTCTTGTGTAGTTAAACCAAGCTTAAAGCATTATATATGTACGTGAAAACAGTTTGTATGATTTTTCACATCCGTTTCGCAGTGCAATGGTTAAAAATCTGAACGAAACCATGAGGATAATTGTTACAATTTTTGTTGGCATAATCTTTGGCTTCTTTATAGGAAATTCATTTCCAGCACTTCCATTACTGAAGGTTTGATTAAATATTTTGGTTTTTATTCATCACTGCTGATTTCTTGTCTTTGTTATAATTTATTCTATCTTTCCAATTTTGAAGCTAAATATCACATCCGCTCTTATTCATGATTTTTCGATCACTGGGAACTTAAGTACAGGTAGCTCAACCCAAAGTATAGAACTATAGATGCTAGCTCTTCCAATAATGATAGAAGCAAATCGACTGAAAACCATTATGTAAATGATTCATCCAAGGTAATTTTTCTTGTTAATAAGGTGTAATTAGAAGTCTAGACAATGTTCAAACAATACAAACTAATTTGTGTTCCCTGCTACTATGAATCAATGTGATCAAACACACTGTCTTTTGCTTTGGCATAGCCATAACATTCAAACGTAGAAACACATCTTGAATTTCTAGTCATATATATGACGTTACGCTAGTCGGGACTACTCACACTATTTTATCTCCGTCTTTCATTAGGTCTGTGCATGTATAATCGTGTCTTAACTAGATATAGATGATAAATTTTGGCAACTTAATTTCTTTCGAACACTAAGCCTATTTTTTTCAATTATTACCTTATTTTCTATTCTGATTCAGATTTGGGTCCCATCAAATCCTAAAGGAACAGAGAGATTACCTCTAGGAATTGTTGCATCTGAATCAGACTTTTACATCTGCAGATTGTGGAGTGAAACGAGTGAGGTAAGAACTCTATTCAAAACTTAGTTTAATGTGCAAAATACTTGGTTTTTTCTTACACCGTAAAGGTTTGCTTATTAACATTGGAGGGCCATAATCAGGAGAAGGAGCACCTCTTATTCCTATGCCAATTTCTAGTGTTTGCCTATTGTTTTTAGTGTCCGAAGTTGTGCAATTGGCTTGGTGGTAAAAGGAATTTAAAGTGAGACGCAAAATAAGTGGAATCACTGAGAAGAAAGTAGTGCCCCTTCTTATGTTCTCCATTTTCTACTTCCACTTCCAGGCTCACATTAGTGAAGAGCTGACATATAAATAAGAAAAAAACTAAGGCACATTAGAGGTTAATGCCCGGTGAAATCATTTAGATTAACTCTACATTTTGGTATATTAATAGTATTTGATTGCACTTAATACTTTTATTTATTGAAATTATGGAAAACATGATTATATTATATGTGTTGGCATATATAGTTCTTTTAATGATTAATTATTATAAGCTTGTTGGTAATTAAATAAATAAATATTTTTAAAAAATGAGATGAACATTTACCGTGAAAACGGAAAACATGATTATATTATATGTGTTGGTTTATATAGTTCTTTTAATTATTAATTATTATAAGCTTGTTGGTAATTAAATAAATAAATATTTTTTAAAAATGAGATGAACATTTACTGCGTGCATGTGAAAAATGCATTAACGGCGTGCTTTCCTTTAGTTACAATATGCATTGCAAGCCGTAAAAGGATGTGAGTATTTACGGCATGCGCCTATACACCGTAAAGAACAGCATGCCATAAAAAGTAAACTTTGTTGTAGTGCACTAAAAGAATTAGGTTGGGACATGATTGAAAAAATAATTTCACAATTTGTATTAGAATTAAAATTAATTTTAAAATACAATTAAAGTTTCAATTTTCAATTCCTAACGCCAATTTATCACAAATTATAAGTTCCCCAATTCCTCATTTTCAATTTTCACAAATCACATTTCATAATACTCAAATTAATTTTTAATATCATAATTCACAGTTGATATATTCTCAAATTCTCATATAAAATAAAAATAAATTTAAAAAAAAAACACACAATATTAAATCAATTTATCAAATAATATCTCAAATGAAAATGTAAACAATATCCCAATTTTCAAATGCAAAATTCGAATTTAACAAACAATATTATCAATATAACAATACTAAATAATATCATTGTCCCTTGATCCTTATGCATCGAACTTGAATCTTATTCAATAACTCAAAAGGTTCAACCTTAATTCATATTCAATCTTCATTCAATGAAAAAATAATGGAAAGCCCATTTGCCTAATTACTTTTTTTTTTTAATGGTACTTATAAAAAAAATAATAATAATAATTAATGGGTACTCGATTCAGGATGGGTCGGCGTAAATACCATACCTGCCTGCCTCGAACCGGGTCATTAAAATCTAATACCATACCCAATTCATTGCACTATTGGTTCGATTTTTTTGTTCCATTCAATTTAATTAATCACAATTTTCGATTTTGACGATTTGAATTGTCATCCTTATGCCTAGGTCAAGAAATGTGTTACTTTCCCGGGTTATGCTGCCCGTATGGCCCTGTACGTGTGAGGGGACAACTGTTTCCCAACTAAATTTACGACTATTAAGTTATAAGAAAATGTTGGCCGGCAAAAATTCAGCAAAGGGAGGGCCCCCAGCCCAGTTCAAGCTAAGAAGGTTCCTACGGCCGGCCCCACGCAACCAGGCCCAGCCGCTCGTCCAGTCCTGCCTCCCGTTTTGTTATGAAAATTTCGTTCTAATCACAACTCTGACACTGTATTTTTAATTCCTTTTTGGGCCCTTTTTTTGTATATTTTGTTTCTCTATACCATTTTTGCTCCTGCTTTCTACTTGGAAATTCCCAATTTTCGAAAAGTTTTCACAATATTTTCAATTTACAGGTGTAAAGTCTTAAACTCACTTGTTCTAGATACGCCTTTTTCTAGTTCAGATAGATTAGATAGATTAATTTTGGCCTGAAATCTGAATTTTCCATTTAAAAAATCAAGCAGTTTATTTGTTCGAGTTTTCAATCATGACTGTGATGGGTTGTTTTGCTTTCCAAGACGATAGATTGCCTTTTAAGGATTCTTTCCGACGCATTAATTGATCGTCTGGGTTTCATCAGATTTCATATTCATCGTCTTCAAAAATTCATGCGTTTTGTCTTGGAATCACTTTGCTTATGGAGTCCGAATTGAACAACAAATTAAAATGTCAGATTTCTCTCTCCCACACACACACCTCTCTTGGATTGCATGCACCAACTTATCGTTGGTTTTCCTATTTTTCAGGAATTCGTATCTGGATATAAATGTCTATTAGATTGAGGTAAGAACTTGTTTGTTTTTTATTTTATCAGAATTTCTTACAATTCGCCCTTTTGTCAGATGAGGCAAATTCTTTTACCTGTGAATTGATTGATACGGATGCTCATGAATGCCAATTCCTTTGGAATTAGAATGATTTGAGATGGGCTGGGGGCTGAGATTGTGGGAGGAATGATTTGATTATCGAAAACTTGTATCTGAATCTCAAATGGACTTATCAAAATACAAGAATTTGAGATTCTTTGTGCCGAATTTGAATTCTCTGGCTTGTAAATGTGTGGCCTTGACCGTCATTGCCTTGGTTCTTAGAGCAGTTTTTCTGCCCAGATTTTGTAGTTTCCGTGGGATTGAACCAAACAACTCATTTGCTTTCAACAAACCATTTAGAATATATTCCGAATTTCATAGTCGAAACTCAAAGTTTTTAGAGGTTCCGCAGATTGTATGGGGATTGAACAATCAGAAAATTGCCTTGGCAAGAGCTTGTTTAACTGCAAGACTGTTGAATCGAACTCTTCTGATGCCTAGCTTGAGCGCTTCGCTGTTCTACAAAGAGATCGATAAGTTGGAACCAATTTCATTTCATAAGGTCTTCCAGTTCGAGAAGTTCAATTCTCTTTGTAAGGGGTTTGTCCAGTTAGCTAGACATTCGGAGATTTCAAATCGAAGCAATGTATTCGAGCTTCAAAAGGGAACTGGGAGGAGGTGGACGATCGAGAAAGACTTAGATCAGTTGAGACAGCTTAGCAGCAATCACTATGATGATTACGAGGTTATCCGAATAACAGGAAAGAACCCATTTTTATGGCATGATCATTGGCCTGTAGAGGACTATTCAACGGTGTTTCAATGCTTAGTTTTGGTGGAAGATATCTCTAGGCAAGCTGATAAGGTTATTTCTAAGATTAGGCAGATTGGATTGCAAGAAAACCATAATATTTCTACTGGTTATGTAGCGGTTCACATGAGAATTGAGAAGGACTGGATGATTCACTGCAAGAAGATGCAGCAGAGGTCGAACATCAGTGAAATTTGTAGCAGTAAGGATGAGATTATGGAACGAGTGACAAACATAGTCGGCCTGAAGAAGCCGGTAGCGATTTACATCGCTGTGGCAGATAACCTTCTTGAAGATAAGACGCTACTGTCCGGCTGGAATGAGGGATTGCTTCCTTTCACGAAGAAAAAATTGGGTGTCGTTGAATTATACGAGAAGCAGCCATATCTCATTCAATCAGCCATTGATTATGAAGTTTGTTTGAGATCAAATGTGTTTGTAGGGAACAGCTTTTCGACATTCTCAAGCCTTGTAGTTCTTGATAGAACCCAGAAAATGATCAACATTGGTGTTGGAAAACTTTGTGGCATTGATGTGATGTGGCCTTCTTATGCCTACAATTTACTAGGAAAATCTAAAGGCCCTCGTCCCTGGGCGACGAATATGTCCGACTCGAGCCTGAATGCAGTTAGTTATGGTACTAATCACATCTCCTGTCTATAAATTGTCTGAATCTGACGCAGCTTGAGAGATTCACTTGTCCCTCGAAACGACCTGCCTTCAGTATTGAAACCCAACATGAGATAGGCTACTCCTATCTTTTCTTGACAAAGACAACTTGGGAGTGCATTTAATAATCAATCAAATAATGTATGTGTCGGCTGACTACAATACTGATAACACAGTATAGTTCTCTTGTCGTATCAACAGTTAGAAGTTTTTATTGGATGGGAGATCAATTTCATAACATCTATCTAGACCAATCTAACTTCAATTATGTGACGTTAACTGATATGTCATCTTAAATGTTGGATACGCATACTTAAGATGGCATATAAAACACATTGAATATGACATATGGAGTTAACTATTCCGATATGAGTTGCCTATTATAACTATTCCTACTTGATTTAAGAACACAATTACTATAAACTAGTTAGTTTCATTGCCAATAATTTGTCAAAAGCATGTTATTCTTGTGTTCAACTTTCTTTTTCTGTAGTCTTCTTCAAAGGAAGTTATTATCGGGTGCTCACATGTTTGAGCTCAGGATGCAACATAAATACTACATAAGAATCAACCTATCTACGAGGAGTGTGAGCAAGATACTCTACCTCCTACACCAAGCCTTCTTGAAATGCTAATCAAGCTTAGCTCATTGCAAGTAATCCTCATTGTAATTATCGCTTATCAAAGAGACAAATCCCTCGAGCCAAGGCAGTTGCTGCAGATCCTTCATGGCATCAACATAGGAATCCGTACAGCGAGGTGGGGATTGGTAAGGATTATGATCGGTCGAACTGAAACCTCCGGAAAGAAACCTCTGGATCACTGCCAGTTGTGATCTTTCCTGGTCTGAATACGCATCCATTAACATCGGGACTGACTCAAATGAGTCCCATGTCCATTGTTCTTGTTGGATTGGATAAGGCTCCAGTTCATTAGCGAAATCGTCATCCCAGAATGCGCATTGACATGTCTGTTGGCCATTCCTATAATCCGCACCACAGGAGTAACAGAACTCGTGCCTGCACCTGTAAAAGAACACGAGGAGTTGGTGAAACAACATCCCAAGAATCTATGCACCAGTTAGAGTTTCATGTAAGAAATGCTTGTCTAAAACAATTTCTCCCATCAGAATAGAAAATGTTTCATTAATTTTAGACGAAACACAGTCAACCAATAGCCCTCCTGACGAGTGACATGAAGAAAAACTGAGATTTCCACATTTATTGAAAATCCGAAGGGACGTTCTGATCAGTTTCGAACCTTCTAAGTCCAACTGATATCAACGCTAATCTCCAGGAAAATTGCAACAATATTTATAGAATTGACATTTAACCAGATTAACCCTCAAAGCCCCCAACTGAACAGATTTAAAAAAAGATTATAGGTCACTATTGAGCAAGTTAAGTAATTTAAACAGACCAAAAACATTCACTGCTCTACGTTAATAAAGTATATGCATCAATGATTTGTTATGTTATGATCCAGTAAATTGTTACCATGATAGTCAAACATTCACTTTTGGGACAACATAAAAGTTTCTGGTAAGGCTATCCCCAAGTCCTTTTATCTTGTGTTGACTGATTCTCCGTGCTCGTGCTATTTGCTCTTAGGGTGTATTTGATTACAAGCATGGAATTTAAGTGGAAATAAAATTAAATTTCCTAGAACTTATCTCCATGAAAATTGTCAACTAAAAGTGCTCGATTGATTTAATTTTCAACCTAGAAAATGGTATACTTGTCCATTTTTTATTAGTGGGTAAATGAGAGAGAAGGGAGGCAAATGAGAGAATTAGTTGAAAAATAAAAACATACTCCCCTAAAGAAAATATATTCCTTATTTTTAAGGAAAATATGGTCATGTGACCAAAAGTAGAAAAATGTTTTCCATGAAAAAATATCAATCAAACAATTAAAAAGTGGGAATTTGGATGGAAAAATGACATTTTTTAAAAAAAATATTGACAATCAAATGCACCCTTAAATAAATGCTGCCACCATATATCAGAGATTGTGGAAGGGGGAACAAATCTTTAATCAATAGTTTACTTTTATGAGCAGATAATCAGTGACAAAAATTGTTACTTGTCCTGCGAAAACCTTGAAAAAAAAAGGGTGTCTACAAGAACAGATGCATGCTTTTATATTCAAGATCAACAAGGAAATATATACCATAAGGAAAAAGCTCGTTATGTTTCTTTACTGCAGTACATTGGTACAATATTTCAAAGCTTTTCTGAGTTCAGACTCATAGTTATTTCAAAAGAAAATAATCTTACCGGCATGTCATGTGGTAACAACCATAAGCAAGCTCAATCATTCTCCGGCATTGCTGGCAACGTTTCCATCGTTTGTTCTGTGCCAAACGGTGAAAAGTCAAGTCACAAGCATCCCTCTCCTCTAACGGGATGTTCTGATACTCTTCACAGGTCATGGAAGAATGCCAAGGAACCTCACAATCCGCACAGATAAACCTCTGACAAACAGGGCATTCCACACAACTACTGTGGGGTTGACTTGATGAGCTTGCCCTAGTTGACAAGCATTCATTAGGATCAAGCAGAACTGAACAATTAGGATACGGACAGTAAATCTTATCTGAGTTGAGAATATTTGCTTCTGCAAGAGCTTGTTCCAAAGATTCGTAAGAGGTAACTGAAAGAAAAGACCTACATTCAGCTATGGATATACAGTATTTGCACATCAATTGAGGACATTGAATGGGAACTTGAGTAGATTGCACTTTCCCCTCAACATAGGTTTTCATACAGTAAGAACAGAATCTGTGGGAACATTTGATTGTGACCATCATTGACATGAGCTTCTCCTCGCAACATATTGCACAAGTGTCTGTTAATTTATCTCCATCGGCCATGGAAATGACAATACCAATAGCCACTTGAGCCAACTTTAAGGCCTTCTCAAGATCAATACTAGGAACAAAATTAAGAACAAAGGCTTCCATATTACCAGCTTGTTCTAGGATTCTTTCCCTCAGAGCCACCATAAGTGGATCTTCAAGTCTCTCACCGCGTGAAACCTGAAAAAATTACGTATCCCCTTTAACTATACAAGAAAAGCTGTATAAGAAATGACTTGAACTCAATTATCACTATGAAGCAGTGATATGAAAGGACCAGCGGACAACTGAAAATAAGGCTAGCCATCAAACATTTCCAAAATAGACTGATATATGTACTAACTATACTGAATTCAATTCAAATATATCTGGTCTGATCTCCTGCTCCCAGTGGGCATCAGAGAACCATAATTAAGGTTTTCTTGCCATATCAACAGTATGAAGTTTTTATAATGCCCAATCAAATCTATCAAATATACTGCAACTATAGAAGGTACACACCAAATATAACAATTGCTCGTCATATGAAGCAACAGTCAGATACGAGAGGTTGAAATTTCCCATTTTGAAAGACTTGGCACAACCATGAATTCAAATGCATGATATTCTATCATTATTAGCAATCTAACAATTCAAATACACAAAAAAAGTCTTTAAGACTAGAAAATTTCTCACCTGATCATACAAGATTTCAGAATTGGTGAAGGCCAACACCCGCCTAAAATTGTTTTGAATAGCTTCAGATAAACCATCTAACAAAGCTAAATAATCTGCCACCAATTCGTCCACATAGAAATCGAGCTTTTTCTGCACTCGAATCGGAGTGCTACCGTTCCTCTCCATTACCACTCCAATTCCGGAAAGCCTAGAACCAGAATCTCCAGGGCCAACTACAGAAACACCCTTAAAATATATCTTTACAGAATCTGAATCAAAATTGTCATTTAAATCTTCCTTTGTTGATTTTTCCTTCTCTTTGAATTCATCCTCATCCTCATCCTCACAACAGCTTCTAAACTCGTCTTCATCTTCTTCAAGTTTCACTTCCTTACCTTCAACCATGGATGAACCTTCAACAAGAAGGGTTTGTTCCTCCATTTTACTAATAGTGCTTTTTCCCAAATCACCCACAATTTATCCACAAAACCACTAATAAACAGATTAATATATTTCAAAGTCTGCTAGAAAATCAATCTTTCCCAGAATATTTACAGGATTTAATAAACACCCACCAATAAGCATATGCCAATAAAGCTATGAAATTCCATATTACACCCAAAAAGGGACCAGTAGCGTTCCAAGAAAACTCTGATCTTCACACCGTCTTCTGCATCAAGCTTCAATAATTAATATTATCCAAAATAATCACAAATGGGAACAACAAAAGTTTAACAGGAAAATAAAAATTAAAAAAAAAAATCCCTTCAATCAAAACAAAAATTCTTTGTGGAATAAGTCAACCCAAGATACCCTCTTGTCAACCTCATCAGTTACCATCGCTCCACTGTCAGTAGAATCAATCTACTAAAAATAAAAAATGCAAATATAAATTGTATATAGATATAAATACAAGAAGTGAAGGTTCCATACCATGATGGGAAGAATAATCGAGCCGACACATTTCATCTCTCTGATTGTTCTTTACATATAAATTAAATTACACAGCCCAATTATCTGACAACTGCTCGGTCATGTCTCCACGAATTACTTGTATCTTTATTTTCCTTTACAGAGAGAGATGGAGGGTGCAGGAGTTGATTAACTGCTGTTTCTTTTTGTTACGTAGTGGATTCTTTCTTTTTGGAGAGAGAAAAGAAAAGCCACATTTCCATCACAATTTACATATTTATTTACCAATAAAATTATGGGAGTAAAAAAATTTTCAACCAAAAAAAATAAAAAATAAAAAATAATCCTACTTTCTTTTTGACCCAATCGAACTAACAGTCTGTTTGGGAGTGATTTTTCACCGTTATTTCACTATTGCGATCGTCATATTTGAGCCCACTTTTCTCCTAACGGTTAAAAAATCAATTTTCAAAATCACTCTCAAACAGACTCTAAGCCTTAGTTTTCTTTCATTTAAAAATTTTAATATAAATTTGAGTCAAAATTAATAATTAATTTAAATAAAATATTCTATGCGTACACAATTTCTATTAAGTTTCAACTACATATTTCACTAGTTTTTATCAAATCTATAAATCACTTAATGGTTCTCTATAATTTAGGTGTGATTTTAAATATACATTAATGAATTTTGTCACATGGAACTCAATTTCACAATATTCAGAAGTTGAAAAATGCAAAACCTCGATTTTTAAAAGTGAAAATTCCTATCCGAAGTCGAAGAGGTCAACTCGGTTAATATTTTTCAATAAAAATAGGTATTTTTATGGGGCGACACTGTAATATTTGCAATATTTTAATTAAATCAATATATGTGAATGTATTAAAAAATCAAAATTTTTGCTGCAATAATATTTTAAAGCATTATACTTGAATTAAATCAAACAATTAGTTTTATTATAATTTTATTCCATCAACGCACATGACACGAATATAATTGATAGAATTTCCAACCGTGTTAAGGAATAATGCCCCTTGCGCGTGGTTAGGTGATAGGGTGTTCGACAATGTTGATAGCATCTATGTTGTTCCACAAATTGTTCAATGAAAATTTGACAAGTGTCTCCTTATTTTTAACCTCCGCCTTATTTTTACCAAAACCCTTGTGTTATGTTCCATTTTCTCATGTTCTCATTGAAATTAGGAGTGAGTGCGGTCCGATTTGATCCAATTTCAAAGAAAATCGAACCAAACCGAATACCAATGAGAATTTTAGAAATGAAATCATTGGTTCCATAGTTAACTGTGGAACCGAACCAATCGGTTCCGATTCGATCCGGTTCGATTCTTTACATTGAAAATGTCAAAATAAAGTATTCACTAATAAAAACTCTAAAATTGCTACTAACGTGATACTTTTAACAAATAGAAAAATCGAACATATTATTCAAAGATTTATTTAGGTATAGATTTACAAAGTGAAAACAAAATAAAAATTTCGCATCTTATAAATGAAATTATATATTGTAAATAAATTTATTTAGGTATAAATTTACCAAATATTCTAATTTCACTTGAAAATCAATTAATTAAATAATTATAAGAAGAGATAAGGAAAGAATCGAAGAGAATAATGAAAGTGCTGGAGTCTAAAATTAAGAAGGAACCCGATTATTTTTTATAAAAGTGTTGGAGATTGAGTCGTATATTTTACCAAAAAATAAAAATAAAAAAATCCAATGAGAACCATCTGGTTCCCGCGGTTCTCATACTAGAACCAGTAACTAGACCCGAACCGATCGATTCTTAAAAATTTGTCCCGAAATCAAATTTTTTTTTAGAAGATCCGAAATCGAACCCGCTGGTTTCAAACGGTTTCGATCTGGTTCCACTGGTTCTAGAAAAAAGTGCTCACTCCTAATTGTGATGCTCTGAATTCTGATAAAACTATAAAATAAGGGGAAAGTTGCAACAATAGTCACAAAACCTTTCACCATTTTGCAGACTTTACCATAACTTTCATTTTGTGCTCATACAGTTCCAAACCTTTCAAAAATATGCATCTAAATGAATGGAAACCGTCCATTTGATCGTTAGTTGACAATGAAAATTGGACTTTGACCAAATTGAAAATGGGTAAAATGGTAACTTTCGAATTAGCAAATATTTTTCAACATTATTAACAATTAAACTAAAAAAAAAAAACGCACCCCAATTTTCTTCTTCTTCCATGCCCCCACCTTCAACCCCACCTCTCCAACCAAACCATAATCCAAAGCTGCCAGTCGCCACCACCAAACCCACAGCCACCCGAAAACCAAAACCACCTCCACTAAATCGAACCATCACCATCACCTTCCACTTTTATTCCTTCTAAACTCCAACACCACCTCTACTAAATTGAACCCAAAAGTTATAGGAATTCAAAAAGATCTACTTGAGCGATCCTTACCTATATCTCTTCTCCCATGGTGTACATGGTTTCTGTTTCCTCGCCCATAAAATCCATTTTCGGACCAATTTTGTGATCTCTTAGCAAGATCAAAGCCAAAAGCCATGGATTCACAAAGGGGACTCTCTGCACCAAACATAGGGATAGTGTCATTTGGTTTCAAGGAAAGAAAAGTGCATCCCAATTATAACAATAGCTTGATTTGCTTGGAGGGTTTTAAATAAGGAAAGTGCATCATATTGGTTAGTATTGGATCAAATTTTCTATGTTGCAACCGCAATAGAGAACGAGTAGATTGTGGTGGTGCCGACGGGTTTGGTTAATGTGGGGGGGTTGAGTGTGGTGGTAGTGTCGGTAGCTATGCGAAAGAAGATAAAGAAGATTTCTTTTTTTCTTTTTTTTAGTTTAATTGTTATAATTGTTAATAATAATTGGAAATATGTAAATATACTATTTTGCCCTTTTTAGTTTGGTCAAAATTGATTAAATTTTAGCTTTCTGGTCAATTAATGGTCAAATGGATAGTTTAATCCATTTAGACCTCAGGTGCATATTTTTTAAAGATTTAAGATTGTGGATGATACAAAATGAAAGCAAGAGTAAAATCTGCAAAAAGTGAAAGGTTTAGGACCTCTGTTGCAATTTTCCCGAAAATAAGTTGATGAAAAGTATTCCCAATTGGCAGCCCCACCGAATAAAATTGAATTAAAATATTGACGTGACTTGTAAAAAGGTTTTGATCCCTAATTTATTTTGGACCATAGTGCAAAGGAATATGAATTCTTTCATCAATCATGCTATAAGTACATTGATTTTTTATGGAGAGAACATGATGTGAAATTATTGGAAGATGGAGAGAGAAAAGAAGTAGGTCAATCATGCATCGTTACGTCAACATCGGTATAAATTTTGGCAATATTTACATGTACTCATAACTTTTTCCTTCTTTAATTGGTTTGACAAGCAGTTTATAAATGATTTATAATTCAAATATAAATATTAATATTCACACATACGGAGATATATATTACTTGTTTGGGCTATATTTTTTTTTTAGAATGCATTTTTGAATATTGTATTAATGAAAAATGTGTGATTAAAAAATAAATAAAAGTTTTGAATTTGCGTGTAATATTATTTTATTAAAAAATATGTGGTTAAAATGATATCAATTCACTGTTTAAAAATTTATTTTTCTGAAAAAATGTGACTCAAACATGACTGATATAAATTTGTCGGAACTTACAACCATATATTGGAGAAGCACCATTCTGAAATAATAATTTAAAATATGGTTAATTGTCATCCAAAAATATACATCTAAATTAATTCATTTAACAAAACGAAGGCACATGGATTTGTCAGGTCTAGTTTGACTTTCAATTCCTTCAATTTATTTATTTATTTTATTATTATTATTTTTACCTTATACAAATTAGTTTTTTTTTCCTGCTATTATTTTATTTAAAAAAAATTGCAATTAAGACTTTCAATCTATCGAATTGTAAAATTGATTTCTCAATTTCTATTATTCGCAATTCCAAAGTTTTTCTTTAATAGGAAAAAGGGAAATCAAAGAATTTTACCAACTGGGAGTGTGTCTTCGACATTTCAAAATTTGAATAGTCTTGATTTATAATAAATGTTTTTCGTCCTTTTCGTTATTAGATATTGGTGGGGCAATATGATGACGAGAATAATACATAAAGTAAATATTAATATCGATAATAATAAAAATACAATAGAACACTAAGTATTCCGTCCTTTCTAGTTTTCCACCCGTTTTTCTTTGAGATCCCACTTTGGAGAGTGAGGAGAAACAGAGAGATGGGACGGGGGAGGAAGTCGTTTTATTTTTCTATTATTTTTTATATTTAAAGTAAGCCATTGCTCGACCTTCATTTTCTAAAATTCATTTACAATCACATATTTTATTAAATTCACAATTTTTATAAATTTTTCAACATACTTATTTTATCAAATCTTAAAAAAATCTGCTAAAAATATAACTTTTTAGTTAATTGGTAATTGGCACAAAGTGTCCATATCTTTCAAGTTTATTGTGGAAAACGTCTCAACCTTTCATTTTTTGGCATTTTCGCCTTTACCTTTTACATTTCTTGCGCAGAAGGTCATTTTCATTTGTTTTTAAAGATTTTACCCTCCATTCAAATAAAAAAAATAAGAAAAAAAATAAAGAACTAATTGCAATAATAGTCCGAAATTTAAAAAAAATACAAATCTGTTACAATTTATTGTGAACTGAAAAATTCTTAAAATTACAAAAAAAAAAAAAGAAAAAAAAGAAAGAAAGAAACTTGAATGTACAGAGAAATAATCAAGAAATAAAGAAATTTTTGAACCATAACTAATGAAATTGAAAATTCTCAAAAATTGGTAAGCATAAATCTCAATTTTTATTTCGTGAAGAGTAGATGGAAGGCTTGAGGCAAAAATCACGTAATCTTCAAAATTTTTCATTTCCATTGGTTATGATTAAAAAATTTGTCGATTTCTTAATTATTTCACCGTACATTTAAGTTTCTTCATGACTGATTTATAAATTTTTAAAAAATTTTGGGACTATGAATGCAACTAATTCTTTATTTTTTCTTTTCTTTTTCTTTTTGTTTCATTTCAATGGAGGGTAAAATCGTCAAAAGGACCTTCTGTGCAAAAAAATAAAAATAAAAATGTGGAAGGTAGGGACAAAAATACCAAAAAATGAAAGGTAAGGATGTTTTCGACAATAAATTTGAAAGGCA